AAAAGACCAGAAAAATGAGTAAGTGTAGATAGTTGAAGCAAAACAACCCCAGTTCGAGTATAAAATATAACCAGTGGATAGTATGTTTTCCTGATGCAAAATAACTAACACCTTCAGCTAATTTTTTCCGGAATAAGTAATTGTTACAAATAAAACTGACTCGAACTACACGTGAACTAAAGCATGCCGCCAGATCATTACACACAGCCGTTTTAGATGAGGATGGCATAAATTTTTTTGAGTGAACAGGAAATGCTCATTGTATTATATAATCTGTAAGACAGAGTATCCCACACCTTTTCTTCAAACATAAATACAAGATTTGGCGATTCTTTTTCAGTTGTAAAGCTGAGAACCAAAATGTGGTTTCTATTACCAAATGGAAGCCGAGAGCAGAGCTATTGGGAAATAGTAAAGACTAGGAACATGCAACCGAAATTATTAGTTTCTTAGTATACACATTCAATCTATGAAAAAAACTTACTAAGAAAACAGAACCTATAAATTTTCAGGGACACTAGTTTTTTCTTTCATTCAACTATCCAAAAAGTCGAAAACCAAGGATACGGCATGTCAGCACCAGCACCCATCTGGTCCTTTCGAAACATCAACGTGTCATTTTACTAGTCATATATATACATGTGGATAAATAAAGCTATATTCAAGTGCCGACGGTTAAGGATACATATCACTCTTTGATGACTTGGATAGTTGGTGCAATATAATCAATGAAGAGCAAAAATATTCTTCAGAAAAATAACTTCTTTTCCAGGTAGAAGAACAGAGCTATACCTCAATTACTTTGTCATAAATTCTCCTAGATAATTTGCCCCAGATATTGTCTGGTATAGGAAATTCAGGCAGTACTTCTTCTTGTCTTAGGAACTTCCATTCTTCTATTAGAAAGCTGCAAAGGAAGTGTGCCGATCCAAAGATAATATTAAATGCAACTATTTAAAACATGTATTTTATTTTTATACAGATTGTAGGGCACGAAGCAAGTACAAAAAAAAAATAAAAAATTAACAGGATAAATTAATGGAATGATATGGTATTGATACTAAGTAAAATGTCAATCAGTAGCCACGTAACAGGAAAAACTTTCTGAACAATTAGATGGAACAAGCTGCTCATCAAAGCTCTCGAAATATAAAATTCCCATTTTTCAGAGAATTATACAATATAACCAAACAAAATTTGTGAACACCCCTCATAAAAGCTTAAGCTCTTACACTGAGATTTGCTTCCACCAAATGTAAAACTCTTCCCAATTCTTTTTCCAAAACAAAACCAACATAAAACACGTTCTTCAATGTAATTTCCTACCAACACATCCATTTCTGATACATCAAATCAATTTCCACTTCTCAAATACCTTTCCCTAAAGCAACATACAGAAACCCATCAAATAAATTTTGTGAAAGCACATTCAAAAACAAGGTGACATTGAGGAACATAATACTGATCAGACAACTCATACCAGTTGAGGCACCATCTAGATTCTAGACTAAAATCCAAATTTCATAAGGAACATCTAGGCTATGCAACAGACAGGTCATGTAGTAATAGAATGTATCTGATATTCTGATTGGCCAATACATAAACTCCCAAAAGCAAATCCTCTTATCATAGGCAAATTAAATATAAACTCCCAAAAGCAAATCCTCTTATCATAGGCAAATTAAATATAAATGGAAATTGGATGTCATGCCTGGCCAAACATAAAAAAGCTTGCCAAACTGCTTTGTTAACAGAAAATAGTTCAAGAAAGGCATGGTTTGATAGGAAAAATATAAGACAGCTTAAACTTTAATGAGAAGCAGCTATGTCGCAACTCGCAATCTTATTTTCCATTTTTTACCAGAAAAATACAATATAGTTGATATATACTTTAAGCAATCCATAAACCACATCATCTTTGATTTTCATAATTCTAATGTAACTGGGATACAGTTCTACTTGCAGAAACAGAAGTCCACTAACCTCTTCACATCCTGCATAATTGACTTGCTGAAGTGCAGCCCTAAAGAATCCAAATGAAGTATGATTGGACCCGATTCATCATCTTTATTTGGTATACAAATAGTAATCAAGCTCCAGTGAAGACTGCGAAAAAAAAAAATTATCAAACAAGGTCACTGAGGTAGCACAACAAATATTCAAAATGAGGTCGAAAAAGATTTATAAACTTGCGCAAACACTGGAAAAGAACATTTCAAGTTTAACATACTCTGAAAGTGGAATGCACAAGAAGTAGAATATAAAGAGTGTAGAACCACCATCACAATGCAAATGCTTAGATCAATGACGCTAAGTACAAGAAGTTGTACAGAGATAAGATGTATAATAATAAAGCTCCACCAATTCTCTATAATCTAGCTATGCAGTCATTACCCAGTAATGAAAGGATAATGAGATGGCAGATTCTAATCCTAGCTATTCAAATATAAATTATTCTTATGTTTCATCAAGTGGCCATCATCACCACAGTGATGACAGTGACGAAAAATATTGATTCCATAGTGTTGCTTCCTTTTGAAAATGAAGCTCATTTTTATATTTTTTGAAGTTATAATTGATTTTTTTTTTTTTTTTTTAATTTTTCCCTCTGGACGTAAGGTGTACACATGCCAAATATCCACATTATACACAAAATCATTCTTAAGTAATACTTAAGTCTAAAGAGACTGCCACTTGATCCTACTCACTTTTCATGAATTGGTAGAAAGATATATGCTTTCTCAAATATATTGACACCTTTCCACCACCTCCTGAACTTCTTAAATGATGTTTCCTTATTAGCCTGCATCATAACAAAAATGCCCGAGGAATTAGCTTTCATAAAAGCGAATAACTCAACCATGCACAGTTGTCATAATTCTTAATTTTTCATTAAACCAAATACCGTAGCATTCAATGTGGTTGTCAAAAACCTATGAAGTATCCCCACATGACAAGTTCAGCCAGTCATATTAGAGTCTCGTCTAAAAGATCCATAAAATGAATTCAATATTGACTAGGCGGCTACCATGGATATACCTAGAAGTTATGTCCAACTGATGATTCTTTACATATATATTGGGTTCACCGTTACACGTGTGATTGAAGTTAGCTGGTATAAATAGAAATGAAATAAATTGTTCCAAGCCAGGGGTAGCATCCGAGAATTTAAGCTCAGGAAGCTGATACCTTGGCCAAGACATCCTGTTTCAACTTGTTGTAGAAGTATGTATTGAAAAAATGATAATCACATTTCTTTCTGGTGCTTGGAGATACTGGCTTCTGCAGATACCTAAACGAAGTAGATCAGTAAAAATATTATCTAAAATTAATTTACAGCAACTGCAGAAGGCACGTAACTCGAAGACAAAAGTTGTCACATGCAAATGCATACGCCTTTTAAATTTTATAAATGAAGCCACGCCAAGTAGACTAAAATTTTGGTCCTCTCAGGGTGATTCAAAATGAAGTGGCCTCCCAAGAGATTAGTAACTGGTACAGCATGAACCACTTAGTGTGGTTTGAAGTAAAAGCATTAAAAGGTCATTAGTCTGAATCAAATATTTTGATTAACAGAAATAGGGAAAATGCAGAATCAGATTGTGGAAGGATTGAAATTCTACACACATACACACAAAATGAAAGATCTGTTTGTGAAAAGATAAAAAAAAAATGGAAGAAGAATAAAATAAAAAGGAAAATATTAAATACAATAACATAAAATTAAGATAAAAAATGGAATAATCAATTGTTTCAACTTTCAACTAAATCTACTCAATTCAAATGATCTGTACCGAACACGCACTCTAAAATTGAACCAGAATTATTTAGCAATTGCCCTAAGACTGAATAAACTTAGTTTATAAAGGAATGCGCGGCGAATGCTTCAACTGGACAATATATTAACCAGGCTGAACCAGAAGCTGAAAGAGAAGAAATGATCTAAGCATGTGATCTTTCTGTGTGCAGGGACACATCATTCTCCACTGAAGATTACAGGAAATTGTCGTACTCAAAATAACATTAGTCAAAAGACCACATTCTATCAGCTTACCGAATGTAAAAGTTCATGATGGTTGATGACAAGTAAGATTGAGGAGCCAGACATTTCATGTCTGAGTAACAAATTTGAACAGCTTCAGGGTCATCCCTATTGTCGAAAATTTAGAATACATGTAAAGAAGAATTTAATACAATAAATAAGGCCAATGATCCGTTATCTTTCTTGAATGTGTTGTGGTGAAATAGTACCTCGACGGATAGTATATTGTCCCCTTGAGACTGCTGAAACAAACAAAACAGAGGACTAAGCATAAACTAATCCCAACCATTGCTATGATATGGTTGACTATTTCAAGAAAACATACACCAAATAAATTTTTGAAACTAATAAAGAGTTGGATGAACTATTTAATACCTTTGACCCACTGGGTCCACTTGATTTACTGTATCGACCTCAAGTTCTTCCTCATCAACCAGAACAACAGTTTTCTGCTGGAAAGTTAATTTTAGCATGTAAACTTCAAAAGTACTCTTATAATAAAAAATGATAAAAATACCATTACAACACTTCACTTTCCTAGAAAGAACCCCAGGGTACAGATCACAAGTGGAAAATTAAACGGGAGTCTTAAACAATTTGTAGGCATATAAAAAGTCAGGAAAAAGGGTAAAAAATGAGCAGCTCACAAGCAAAGACTCACGATTTCATCCTGGAACTAGCTTTGGGTTAAAAAGTGGTCAGTTAAAGATAGTACTTATAATATCTGGAAATTGTTTAGATAGAGCTTGCACTGTGAAGATATTGACCAGCTAGAAAATGTGACCCAGGAAGAAAGAAAGAAAGAAAGAAATAAACTGGTTTACCGATCAAAAAGAAAAAAAAAAAAAGAAAGAAACTGGTTTATCCTAGGATGCCTAAATAAAAAAAAAAACTGGTTTAATCCTAGGATGCGTTAAACAAAAGCTCACTGATACCCAGCATCAGAGACCGGCATCTTCATACTCCCTCCAGATTCTTCTGGAACTTGAAGTCTACTATGCCAATTTATAATTTTCATCTCAAGGATCAATCTCATACCAAAAACTTAGTGCAAGTTGCATCCAACAAAGTTTAAAGCAATAATTATGACATTGCGAACAACAAGAACCAAGGATTGAGGAAAAGCAGGAAAGAGAGCCAACTCAAGATACGGTGAACTTACATTGTTCCTTTTGGAGGTCCGCATAGGTTGAAAACGTTTAGCATTTTCCCTAAGAATGAAAATTAACAACAAATCAAGTTAAGAATATCAGACCATCACACATCACATGCCCCTCTTTCCAAATTAGGAGTGAAAAAAACAACGATAAAATCACTGCAGAAATAATACCTCTTCTCATGATAGCTAGAGTAATCTTTATTTGATCGAAAAGGAGGGGAACAAGAAGACCGGCCTCCTGATTTATCACGGTTTGGTTGAGAAGTGTGATTCATCTGTACTGAAAGATAACTAGGAGATTTAAAAGCTGCTTGCCTCAAGGATACACCAGTCTTCTGAACCAGAAATGACCCACTTTCTCTCTCGTGACTGCAACGATTCAGAGTAGACAGTTCTTCTGAGAAAGACTTGATCGGCCTCTGTTATATATATCAAATAAAGGGATGTGAGATCAAGCTATCAGGTCCATACTGCATGAATAAAATAAAAGCGTAGTCATACTTTTTCGTCCAACTTGCTACAGAAAATTGAGGCAAACTTGGATTTTGATACAGATGGAGGACCACCATGAGATGCAAAGTCATCAGTAACACCTGCAACATCATTACACTTTAAGCTCTAACGAGCGGATATAAAACTCAAGTCGATCAAACGAAACCCAAAAAAAAATGCCCACCCAATTGATCAAGCCTTGGAATTCACTAAACCAAATGCATTCAATTTAATGTATTCCCCTTGTGTATTCTATCATAACATTTTAGGGGAAAAAAAAAATCATAAATTGAAAATGTAGATAAATTCAAACATTGTATTAACTGCTAATAAGCCAAAGTGATTTTTACAGAAACAAATGCCGATAGTTTCATTCTAAAAACGTAAATTTGTTGTAGTATAACTGCAGTTAAGGGCAAGTATAGTCCTCAGAGCTCAGTCCCATAAATGTAGATATCATTTTCAGGCTTAATACATATGAAGACAGAGGCCAAATACTAATGGAGTAATGCCATATAAACTCACCAATACATATAGAATTATCAGCTAACGGTGTCACCTTCTTCCGTTTGTCCTCAGCCTGGGCAGGAGTTATCATCACAATTATGAGTAATATTCCCATAGAAAACGCCAAAGCACGAATAAGTAACAAGAAGACATCTACAGAATTCTCATAAGAACATACATAGGATAGACAAACTTAAAACTAAACAAGGTTCCGCAATGTCAATGAAGTTCATGCCCAATTTACCCCTTCACGCCAACTCCTGATGCTCGTATTTGTCACTACATCAGACTATATTCAGTGCAATAGCAACACATCAACACAGTTCCAATCATAGAACTAAACAAGAACCCATTAATAGCACAATTTCAGTACTTCCAAGCATGCACTAATTGAGAGAATAGGAAAAACGATCAAGTAAATAAATTCATCCGTAAAAACAAAAACCTTCAGGGGATATCTCCTCTGCAACTCTACTTCAATCTTCTTCAAACTAACTCGCAATTTCTCACCGCCATCGTTCAAATTAGCAGCCTTACTCTTCAATAATTTTCTGCACCTATCAGCCCTTTCACGCAGTTCTTTATCAGAAAACTTCTGGAGACTTGGGTCCCTGTGCAGTTCCTCCTCATCCCCCAACACCATCACCTCCGCCGCCTGAGAGTTTGATTTCTCCGCCGCCGCCGCTGCCTTAATCACCACCATTGGTGGCGGCTCGTTGTCGTGGACGGGCAGTAGTCTCTCCCAGTCAAGCTTTAGTGGACCACCTTTTCTCTTTCTCTCTCCTGCCCCTTCCATGCATAGAAACCTAGGCAAAACGAAATAAGGCCGGGCTTCGGGATCAAATAAGAAGCCCCAATGTAGAAATTCCTTTTTCCATAACCGCTAGATCTCCTATCAATGGCCAGATGCCGGCGGTCGATCGGTGGATTGGTTCGCTATTTTCGAAACGAAAAGGAGAAACTTTGTGCCGAAATTTTGCTTGATTGGCGCTCCACTCTACTGGGCTCTGGTTTCATCAATGGGCTCTGTCCGTTAAAGTTGAAAATAAAGAGATACGAAGTGATGCATAGTTAAAATTATGTAAAAAGATGAATAATGAATTAAATTAGATGAGATGTGTAAAAATGATTGGATGATGTTATTTAATAATATTGAGAATATTGGAGTTAGAGTTAGATTTTGAGTTGAATGAATTCTTGAGTGAAAAAATTTTGTATATAAACATGTTCTAACTATTCAGTGCAAAAATAAAATATTTGGTCAATAATACTTGTCAACCAATAAAAATAGTATAATATGTTTTCTTTATTAAAAGAAAATTCAAATTAGGAATAAATGCTTAGTGTTCAGGTTAGTACTTGGTCTAAAATAGACTCATGAGTGGGCTCGGTCTCTTTTTTGCCATATAAGCAATATCGTGTCCACTTTTAATTGCATTGTGAAACATTTTTTTATAGACTATGTTTATTTCTTACATGACATATGATATTTTATTAAGAGACTCAGTACATTGTGGGTGCTCTTAAGTGACGAAATCATGATCATCTGATCGGCAACGCCTCATTTTCCTTTTATGTTTTTTCTTTTTTTGTTGTAAAATAAAATGAGGGCGAAGGAGTACAGAGTACGCATTATGATGTAGCAAAACCAATGTATAGAATACGTAGATTGTGAGAAATAAATTGCGGAAGCACGAATATCAAAACAAATGTCTCGGGGAGCATCTCACCACCCTCATAGCTCTTTCATTCATACATCGAATTTGCGCGCACAAAGTACAGCTTGGACGTACTCGACTCGGGCTTCCTCCTAGCTTATCGAACACTATATTCAATCATGTCAATTAATTCTCTGGCCACAACACGTGGACTTCAAATATAGGAATAAAAACTTGATTACCTCTCCTCAAAAAGGGAAATGAATATATATCATATTCTTTAGTAGTAGAAACATGTTTAGCAGTGTTATCCACCAGCATATGATATGTAGATACGGGAGCAACTGATCATGTTTGCAATTTATTGTAGGGGTTTCACGAAACCAACTACTTCGGGATGAGGAGATTATCGTCTTCTTGGGCAACGCCACGAAGGCGGCAACTGTTTAGTGAGAGACATTACTTCATGCTTTGTTGAGAGTAGATGATTGGTTTTCAGATATTCCTTTTGTGTTCTCTCGTTTAGTAGAAATTTTATTTCAGTACTTTTTTATGAATGGATATTTTATTTCGTTTAATGGCAAGGTTATTATTCATCAGGGAAAGAATTTCAATTTTCCTGGTTCATTAGTTGTCAATCTTTATGTTCTTAAACCAAACAATTACACATTGAAACAATATGAACTAAATAGCACATATACTAAATTTAATAAGAGAAAATAACCTTAAAAAATGAGTGAAGCATACATCTGGTACCTTAGACTTGGGCATATTAACCTTACGAGGATTTAAAGGTTGGTATCCATTGGACAACTCGGTCCACATGTAGATGACTACCCGATCTGCGAGTCATGTCTGGAAGGAAAAATGTCTAAGCGGTCATTCACGGCCAATGGGCATAGATACGAGAATGTGCAAGAATTGATTTATTCCGATTTATGTGGTCCTATGTCAATCTAGGCTAGAGAAGGTTTTGAGTAATTTGCTACGTTTATTGATGATTACTCAATATTTGGAAACGTTTAATTGATGCACCGCAAGTACGAATGTTTTGATAAATTCAAGAAGTATCAGGTAGTTGTAGAGAAAAATCATAGTAGACGTATCAAGTCATTCCAATCAGATAGGGATGGCGAATACTTCTTTGAAGAGTTTAAGACTTGGTTATCAGACGTTTGGGATTGAATCCCAACTATCTTCACCCGACACATCTCAACAGAACAGGGTGGCAAAACTGAAGAACAAAAATCTTATGGAAATACTTTGGTAGATGATGAGTTTTTTAGATCTCCCGAGTTCGTTCTGGGGACTCGCCTTAGCAACAACGTATATTTGAACCTAGTTTCAACAAAGTAAGTTGCAACTACTCCGGTTGAATTATAGTACGGGCACAACCCTATTTGTCACATATTCGGGTTTGGGGTAGTCCAGCACGTGTGGTGCATGAAGCTGACAAGTTGGAAAAGTGATCATATGTACGGTTTTTTGTGGGCTATCCCAAAGAAACGAATGGTGGTTTATTTTGTAGTCCCAAAGATTAGAAGGCGATCGTTAGCACGAACACTAGATACTTTGAAGAAAACTATATTCTAAACTACAAGCCCACGAGTAGACTTGTCTTAGAGGAATTAAAGGGTGAGGTTGAACATCCAATACAGAGTGCACAAGTAAATACACCAAAAATATTGCAGCATATGTCACTGAGGATGCGCATGTGCAAGAAGTACCTCGTCACAGTGGAACAGTTGTTAGACATTCCAACATGTTCGTGTTCCTTGGAGAGTCTTCGCAAGACGAGGATGCAGAATCATGGCAAAGTGCGATGATCGCTAAAATGGAGTCAATGGACCCCAATCAGGTTTGTGATCTTGTAGAACCACCCAATGGGGTACAACTCATTGAATAAAAGTGGGTATATAAGAGAAAGAGTGGGTCGGATGAAAAGGTTTAGACCATTAAAGCCAGGCTTGTAGCAAAGAGGTGTACTCAGAAAGAGTGAATCGATTATGAGAAAACCTTTTCGTCGGTAGCCACGCTAAAGTCTATTTGGATTCTTTTGGTTGTAGCCACTCATATGAATTATGAGAATTAGAAGATGGATGTTAAGACGACCATGCTTAATGGGAATATTTAAGAAGAAATATATATGCAACAACCAGTGGTGTTTATCGTAGAGGGTCGTGAGCATCTATAAGCTTAACTGGTCCATTTATCTATTGAAGCAAGCTTCGAGGTCTTGGAACGTCCAGTTTGATTAGCTAATCAAGTCGTAAGGGTTCATTCAATGTACAGATGAGCACTGCGTGCACAAGAAGTGTGACAGAAGCGTGCGGTGTTTCATGTGTTGCACATAGAAGACATCATTGTCATTAAAAACAATGTAAATGTGTTGTCAGACGTAAATGTATGGTTATCCGAGAAGATTGGTATGAAGGATTTGGGTGAAGCAGGACACATTATCGGCATCAAGGTGATTCGACACGGCGGTAAGAGAATATTGTGCTTATCCCAATCTTCATTCATAAACTTTGTCCTAGCTAGTTTTAACATACAAGACTCCAAGAAAGGGTTTCTACAAATTCAACATGAAGTTTCACTATTCAATGAGATGTCCCTCAAGACGCATCAAGAAATAAAGGACATGATAATGGTTCCTTATGCATAGGAAGGATGAAGTCTCATGTATGCAATGTTGTGTACGAGGCCAAATATCTGTTATGCGTTAGGCATGGTAAGCAAGTACTAAAGTAACCCGGGACAGGGTCACTGGACCGCGGTAAAGCATATACTTAGGTACCTGAAGAGAACCAAGGATTATATGTTGGTCTACAATTTAGACCAATTAATCCATGTGGGTTACACCGCCCGACTTCCAGTCAGACTAAGACGAAAGTATATCTACTCAGGTTCATGTTTACTATGGGAGGTGGAGTCATAGTATGAAGGAGTGTCGTGGCAGAATCTACAATTGAAGTCTGAGTACGTTGCAGCCTCTGAGGCGGCGAAGGAAGTGGTATGGCTCAGGAACTTCTTGATGAACTTAGATATGGTGTATTGAGTTTGCCACAAGGTATTACAGTTTATTGTGATAACAGTGGTGCAGTAGAAAACTCAAAGGATCCACGAGCCCATAAGGTGAGTAAACACATAGAGCACAAGTACCACCTGATACGAGAGATCATAGGAAGAAGAGACATCGTGGTCGCCGAGATAGTATCGAAAAACAACCTAATGGTTCCTTTCACGAAGGGTCTGCCGACGAAGGACTTCGACAGACACATGGAGGGAATGAGAGTCATATGTTAGGTGATAAGATCGACATAGTAATTTTAGAATGAGGATTGAAAGGGGTATACTAGGAAAAGCGGAAGCTTAGTATAAGTGGGAGATTGTTAGTGTGTTTTTGTAAGTATTTTTACCGGAGTCAAATCAAAAGATTCAAACACCGGGTCGTCTCTCAAGGAAGGTTGGTCGGATTATTGTACGGATATTCAATCACAAGAAAAGAGAAAAGAAATTCCTAAACATTCTAATCCAATTGTTGGGGTTTTAGTTATCAACTATGAATTGTAAAAACAAAACTAAAAATTCCAGACTCACAACTCAAACACGAATTCAAATAATGAATAAAGGGGCTAGGGTATCGGGGACAATCACTTTCGGTTCTCAATACATTTAACGAGCAATCAAGAGCTCGGTTAAATGACTCGACGAACTACTCATTTAGAGGTCTAACCTCAATAACTTTTCGTAGCAAGAGGATAGACGTGAACGAATAGCTCTTGAAACAACTAACACGTAAGCAATACCATAACGAACAAGCTTATTCTCCACGAGCCTAGTTCGAACGATCTCTCCCCTTTCAGTTCTAAGATCGATTAATTAGATTAAGATGGTGATCATTCATCTAAAACCCTAGGTTAAGCACAACTCGTAAAGATTGAGCAATTAATCAAGCACATAAACAAAATTGAACCGGAACGATAATCCCCTAACCCTAGCTAATGAATTTAGCTACTCATAATGCATTCAACATCAACAACTACAATAATCAAAGCCATCTCAATCAATAAGAAAACAAAATGAAAGCTTACGATTAATGAATCCAATGTCGAAACAAAAACAAGCCGAAACTTAA